CCCGCGGGCGGGGCCCCTCCCTGCCGCCCGCGGCCCTTTCCGGTGCCCCCCCCTCTCCCGGCGCTGCCACATCCTCCGCTGACATCAGCCCGCGCCGCCATATTGGAGGAGAAGCCGCCTCCGCCAGCTCGGCCGCGGGAGGGGGGGCAGCCGGGGCCCGCCCCCCCCCCCCCGGCGGCGAGCCCCGCTCCCCATGACTCCCGCCGGCCGGCCGCTGCCCCGGTGCGGATAGGGCGGAGGCGGGAGCGTCTCCCGTCCCTTCTCCTCCCCCCGCCTCCCGAGCTGTCGCTGAGACCCTTCGCCCGCGGCGGGCCTCTGCCCTCCTCCCGCCGCCTCCAGCCATGACTTCCCTGACCCAGCGCAGCTCCGGCCTGGTGCAGCGCCGGACCGAGGCTTCCCGCAGCGCCGCCGCCGCCGACAAGGAGCGGGGAGCGGGGGGCGGCCCGGAGGATGAAGGCCGCCGGGACGACTCCGGCGAGGACGAGAAGGGCGACTCCAAGGAAACGCGGCTCACCCTCATGGAGGAGGTGCTGCTGCTGGGCCTCAAGGACCGTGAGGTGCGGCCGGGGCCGTGGCGGCGGGGCTGGGGCGGGCCGAGGTGAGGGGCGCTGGGCGGAGGGGTGGCTGAGGAGGGGCGGTGGTGCCCGGGAACGGGGCGCCTGAGGGGACACCGGTTATTGGGGGGGCGGCTTATGGGGGGCCTGGATGGGAAAGGGGAGCCTAAGTGGGGCGGGGGTGTGGGGGGGATGGGGGCAAGGGCGCTGCTGGGCGAGTGTTGCGGCGGGTTTGGGGCAGAGGTGTTGCTGGGGGTAGGGGCCCATGCTGGAACAGCTTCGGTGCTTTGGAGGAGGTGGGTGAGGTGCTGGGATTTTGGGGAGGGGGAGCCTGGCAGAGCGTTGGGATCGCCCTTTGGACGTGGAGTTCGCAGGGGGGCTCTCGTATTCGTAGCGCCTCAAGGGAGGCAGCGTAGGGGTTGGGGCAAGACGAGGACCTGAAGGTGAGGGCCAGGGCCTCTAGTTGGCGTTGGTGGTTGACTTGGAGGCCTGGGTAGATCCGTGATATTTATACTCTTTCTCCTACAACTTACCCGTGGCTCTAATGTGGGGGGCTTGTCTGCTCCTATGTATTTTGTCAGAGACGACTCTGCGGTACTTATGGGGTTCTCGGGTGCTTTACGATGCTTAGCAGCCCTTTCTGCTAAGGCTTTCCAGACTAATGCGTGTGAAAAACGTCTTAAAATTGGGGGGGAGGTACATATGACGAAAATGGGCCTTGTGTATTGAGAAATGTTTCAAAATGAGGAAGTGGCATTATTATATAATTCTGTGGTTTTACTGAATTTATAGCTTAATTGTTATCACAGTCGTTGAGGAAGGTGTACTTCTACCAGTGTGTCAGATTTTTGTTTCATTTGAAAGAGGTAATCAATATAAAAAGCATGCACACAGCAGAAATTCAGTCCTATCGAGGAAACAGTTTAATTTGATGTGGCATATGGTGAAGCATAATATGCCTTTATTTTAGATATGAGCTATAATATGAATTTCATTAAGCAACCTGCTTGCTTGTTTTTGGGGGTTTTTTTAGTGGTAAGCCGATTCATTGATTTGAGTGGAAGTCTCTTAAAACTGTGTGTGTTCATGAGGACAGAATAATGGGGAGGGAAGTTGGTAACTTATATGTTCTTTGACAGCATGTTGCATCTAAAATAAATTTGCTGATTGATAATGAATAGATTAAAGAGTAGTTTTCCTGGTTAACATTTGTTTTTTAATGTGTGTGGGTATATCTGTATATATACCTGCTACAATAACATAAGTTATTTTTCTCTAAGATTGTGTATTTTAGGCCATATTCTTGTAATCTGTTTTTTTTAGATGGACTTTGCCATGGCATTCTGATAAACTCAGGTATTCACAGTGATGTGTCCTTCCACCTGTTGAACTGAAGAGTTGTGTGTATATGCATTTCTCTTTCTACACCCCTGAATAGTTGGGGGAAAGTAAGTTGGGTGTGACAAGACAGATACCTGGCAGGATTGCCTAGGAGGTCTTGCCATGAGGAAGGTGGGATAAACTGGCTGATCTTTCAGCTCTTTTTTTTTTTTTCCCCAGGACTGTGTGCTAAATCTGCTGAATTTGTGGGCCTTAGGCTATAAAGATTTCAAGGTCGGGAGCATTCTGTCTGTCTAGAAAGAATATATAGTGCAAGTGTTCCTGGTATATGAAAAGTTAATTGTTAAAGTTGGGCCTAAAAATCCAGCTTTGCACTGGTGTGCATCAAAATTATAAATCATCTCACTTTGCTAAGTGCAGCAGTGGCACACACTGCAGGTAATCTAATATTCCTTTGTATAGGAAATACGAACTGAGTGATTACAGTGGCATGGATATCCATAACTCCCTTGGGATTTTGCAGTTGAGACATCAGACAAAAAGAATGATAATATTATCTCTGGGGTTGGGAGCTTATGTGCAGAAACAGTAGCATACACTGTGTGCGCTTTGTTAGACATGAATCACTAGGGTTTGTATTTTGGTTTTGGGTCTGCTTGTACCCTTATGTACAAGCTACACTATGTAAACCACTTTGTCACTTTTTGCTTTTAAAACTGGAAATAAAACTATAGACTCATTTTCAAAGATGAATATATTTTGTTGTTCTCTATTGTTCTAATGATAAGTAAGCAAAACTTACTTACTTTCCACACCTGGATACGCATTTTACAAAGTTTTTACTTCCAGTAGAATTGATTTCCCATGACATTTGTGCGGGACTTTCTTATGACAGTAAGCAGAGAAAAGCAGTACCGGGTCTGTGAAGTGTAACTGTGAAACTACACAAAGTCTAAGGGAAAGGCAAAGGCAGGTGTGTGAGCTATAAGCTTAATTGAAAGCCAGTAAATTTAAAACTGGTAACATCCTTCCTGTGTATTTGCACAGGATAAAATAGTTTAATGTTGAGTTTAAAATAAATAAAAAATGTAAAAAAATAAAGGAGTCTGAATTGGCCAAAAAATCAGCTTCTCTCTCATAAAAGTCACTGATACGCGCATTGATAATATAAGGTTTCAGTTTGGGGAGTAATTTTTTTTCTAAAGTTAAACACTGGTGAATATGGCTTAACACCATATAAATTGTATACAAAATGCCTCGCATGTATGGAGCTACCATTTATAATTTGTAAGTGTAGGTGGCAGAGTCTTTACTCTTAGGAGAGAGTTTTTCAGGAAGATCCAGGCAGTGATGGATTTGAGTGTTTCTAGGAGATTGTTAGATATTTATGTGAATCCTGCTTTCAGGATAGTGTGACGGTTGTTAACAACCACAGCAAAACTTTTGAGTTGCTGCCTGGATGTTTCTGCAGTATGGGTTCAGTGATGGGAACATCTGGCTGCCCTAAAACAAACACAGCACGCCTCAATCCCGTGCTTAATGCTTGAACACAATTAACTGCATTTGCATATGCTTCCTGGACATGGCTTCCCATCCCCGTATGGCCTAATTAAATCGTACTTGATGTATGTATACTGGTTGCTCTTTTCCACCAATGGTTCCTCTTCTGTTTGTATCTTCTGTGTATACATAACTATTTCTGTGTTCCAAAGTCAAGATAGGTTATAAGGGATATGTGCTGAAATATGTGCATGCTTGCATAACATGACAGATGCAGTGTCCTTGGAGGAGCAGGTAATATACTAGAATGCAATACGTTACTAGAATTCTTCAGGGACCATCACAAGAACACCTACACTTACTTGGAAACCCTTCAGAAACATGGCTGGGAAAGGGAGTCGTGCTCATCCATTTAGAGTAGAGTGATAGCCTGTTGCTATAGGAATAAAAAATACTCACCTAAATAAAATACTTTGCTGTATTAGGTTAAAAATAGCATTGTAGTAGGATGGGTCAAAGCCACAGCAAAAATGATGTTATTCTGTAGAACTACTGAAGCATCTGAGGTCATCACTCCCAGAAGAAGGGAGTGATAAACATTAAAAGTTAGCTTATTTAAAAATGACAGCTAAGAGATGAGTACAGGCCAGTTTGTTCATTACAGCTCTTCCAGACATCTTGTAACTCAGTCCCATAGAAAACTGGGAGGTTCCAGTTAGGTGGCTGTGCTTTACAACTGTTGCTCCATTTAAGTTCATTTAAGTCTTTTGTGGGTGCAGGGTTTTTTCTGGTTGTGTGTTTGGGGTTTTTTTTCTCCTTTTTGGAGTGTTCTCTCGGTACACGTTGGGAAACTTCAAATACAGGAATGCACACAGCTGCTCATATCCTCTATACGATGTGCCACAACTAAAACAAATTGAAGGAGCTATAGAGATGTGGCACCTACTAAGATAAAATATTTATTTTGCTCTGTAATGAATTCCTTATTTGCTGAAGGAAAACTCATGTGAAATATGCTGAAATAATTGTCAGGTACTGCGGTCTACTGCAACAGTAAATATTTTTTGTTTTATTTGCCCTTTCTTTGGTGAAGACTAAAATGTCATTTGTGAGAATGAAGTAATGTTAAATCACTTTGTTAGGTACAGAAATTATCTTGGGTCTTTGCTACTCATGTTTGGCCTTCAGAAACTTCATTTATTGCTGCAGATTTAGTGTTGCAGCATAGTTTTTTGTCCAAATCGTTCGTGTGAATGTTTCCAGCTTATGACATTTTTTGTCATATTGAAATAAGTTATTGGGGAGCTAGTTTGCCTGCTTCAGATGTCCTGTTTTGTATTTATCAGATTAGTGCTAAAATGTAGTTTTCTTTATTCTTCTTAGAAATGGGAGTGTCTGGATTTGTTACTGAGTTTTAATCCTAAAGGGATTTTTCTGGAAGGTGAAATAGGAATTTGAAAACATTCAAAATGTGGGTGGCATTTTCCCTGATATTAAGATTTGGCTTTGTGAAATTCATATTTTGATGCAGAAAACTGGGGGTTTTGCCTGTGTAACAAATGATGAAGTTTTGAAGTCTTCGTATCTTTTTAGTCTGCACTGCCTCCCCCCCCGCCACCTTAAAAACATTTCAGCAACAGCCTGAATGTCAACTCAAAAGCTCCCAAGTTTTGCTGGAAAATTTCTGAGACAAATGAGTGAAACTTGCAGAGGCGTCAACTGGGAATTCGCATTTCAGTTGAAGAATGATGTATGAATGTGTCGAAACCTTGACAAAGACGTGCTTTTTCTCAAATGTTCAGGGCCTAATAACAACAAAGTGTGTAATGTCTGTGGTGAAAAATTCTTTCTTTCATAGTTGCACACAGCTTTTTGGTATTTTTTTTATATTTCATGTCCATACATAAATTACAGGCTAGGAGACGATAGGAGGTGTGGGAGGAGGAGTACCCGATTCTCTGTGCTGCAAGATGCAGCGAAGTGCCTCTTTACTGTGCTGCTGAGTAGATCCTGCTTTTGTGCTCTTTGGAGCATATGCTGATTTGGAAGCAGCATTTTGGATATAAGTTGACTTTATGTGTTGAAATGGTGTCTATATTTTGTGGTTCTGCATGCAGCTAGTGTGGTTATCCCTGCCCTTATAGCATGGCTAATCTGTAATC